AATTTGGGGAATGGTTTATTTCTTTATTTTACCTACATAATAACCTTTTTGATCTACTAAGAGAATAACGTAATAAAACAATATAAATACCACAAATTTACGTAAAAATAACGCTATACGAATTACTAACGTCTAACTGTTTGATCTCTCTTTCTAAAACATTGACATTTGTAATTTCTTTATTCGTTTAATTTATATTTTACAAAATGGTACTTACAAAGTAATAAAGGCCACCCTAGAGTAAAATTAAAAAATATAACTTAAATTGTCAAAACTAATAATATTTTGCATTAAAACTCAAAGGCACATTATTTTATTGATAAAAATAGGCACGATACATCTTAAAAATTATATGCCCTCTAAACATTTTACGGTTTTAAGAAAAATTATTGCGTGGGTAAAAATTCAGCAAAACTTAAAACCTACAAAATTTTATAAAATCTTTTAAAAATCATTTAGTTTTAATCATTTTTTAATAACTAAAACTGTCCTTATTATATTTTAGAAAAATATTTATGAAAAAATATTATATAAATGTTTAGATAAGTAATGGATGCCATCTTAAAAAACTCCATAATGACCTGAAAAAAAATTCCCCTTAAAGTTTTATTTTTCACTTTAAGCTTATTTTTCCTTGGTTAATCAATATTAATAGTATTTATTACCACTAATAACCCTAAAAAATACCAGGCGAATAGGAATTATTTACGGTTATAAAGTGGTCTTAATATCGTAAAATTATAATTATATTATAATAATAATAATAATTATTATAATATAATTATATTATTATAATATGACTTATGAGTAACATTTACCATTAAGTAAAAATTCTGACGTTAAAATTACCGTTAAATTTTCCTTTAGGTGAAATACACTCATAATACTTTAAAGTTTTGAAACTTAAGGGTTATTAAAATAGATGAAAATATATAAAAAAAGTTTTACTTCAAAGTAAATTTTTAAGGATAATTTAACAAAATATTTACTTAAATTAAGTAATATTGCCTCAGAGCTCTACGCTTTTACTAAAAATGCTGCTTGGGAACCTAAATTTTTGTAATAAGTGGGGAATTCAATTATGGTAAAATTAACGTTATGTTAAATTTAACTCCTTGGTTAAAGTATCTTTTGGTGAAAAAGAAGGTAATATTTGGTAGTTTTTATAATAAACGTTAATTTACCAGCGAGTTACAATATATGAATGTAGTAAAATATAACTTGTTGGTTAAACAAATTTATCCAAATTAACCAAAGCTGTGGTTAATTACTTGGGTAGGGCTGACGACCAATTCCACCATGCTATAACTACGATCTTTTAAACTTAAGTTTATCTGAGGACAAATGAAACAATTTTTACAATTCAAGGGACTTATCTATGCAAATACGAGTTTGGGTTAGAAAAGATACCTATAACCGACTCTGTCATTGTCAGAAAGAAGGCTGTCTGAGATACATAAATAAATTTAATTAGAAAATTATGTAAGGACTTAACAATAAATTATTCATAGTGTTTATTAATATTTCCACATTGGTTTTACGTACGATTTTTTTTCTATTTAAAGAATATTAATTGGTGGTCGGACGACGAGACCTAGAATCTACCTGATTTTCTTTATGTTAATTTTATTGCCATTAAAATGGCGGTTTTACCTTAATTTACACATTTATAAGGATTTTCTAATAAATTCGAATAGGTGACAAAAGTATTAGGTACCGAAAGAACAGGTAGAAAATCGGCACCAAATCAACTGCAAATTAGGTATATAAGCAAGCTGATCTAAACATAGATTAGAAAAATGTTCCTTTTTATCAAAATTATTAATGGGTGTGTATTTAAAACTTGATAACCATACATACTTTAAAAATGAAGCCACCGTGAAGAACTTGAAAACTTGCCCCGTCATCTGACGTAATTTTGATGGCATTGTCCCGTTGTTCAGTTAATATCGAAACTGAATTAAAATGGGAAGAAATTTAATAATAATAGTTATAATAATACGCAAAGGTCGGTTTGTATACCATAAACATAACTGCCGAATGCTCTATTTAAACTGTAACAAATATGAAGCCGAATGAGGGGAGAGACTGAGGGTTTCGGGACCCCAAGAAATTTGTCAAGCGTCTGAAAAGTACAAAAAAAAACGTCAGATAAGAACAAAATAAATGGGAATACGGTTTAAATTATATTACTTTTTAACCCTGAAAATATTTTTTTAAGTCCTGCTTGTTTAATTAAAACGTTGCGTACATCGAAAAAATCTACAAAATTTATATCAACTTTTTTTAGTTATGGGTGAATATATTACTTTGTTTCACTGTTAGTCTAGAATGGGGTTTTTGGGAAGCCACCAGGTCTAGTAATAACATAACATAAGTGGTTCTTCACTAATGCAAGAATTTTAAGAAATCATACATTTTGAATATTAGAGCTTCACGGAGGTTAGGATTTCGTATGTTTTTTTTGAACCTCCCTTTGTATATTTGAAATAAGTTATTGTATCTTTTGACACCTTAATATTTTCTTCAAATACAATTGTACATACATAAAATATTTATAAAAAAATCTACTTACTGAGATATTACACTTCACGGTGGATAGGTTTTTAAATGGCAAATTAATGAACTTAAACTTTTGAACTATAAAACAGCAACACTCTCATCTGCATATAAATTCTAACTGACCTTCAGGAATCACAAGCATCTATAATGTCGTAAACAGAGGATTTTGCTTATTTAAAATGATTAAAGCGCCACCCGTTGCATACAATTTGAAGCAAAACAGATTCACGGAGGATAGAATTAATTTTTGTAACATCTACATAAATGGTTATAAAAATAATTTTTAATAATATTTTAATTTTGATTCGATTGCTTTGGATGTGTTTAATTTACTTAGTGAACTGATATTTTTAGTATGCTTTTACTACCTCAGATATTTGAAAAAATATAATAATATAGGTTAAGCTAGAAAGAGTAACAGTCACGGAGGATAGGTTTTAGACTTTTAAAACATTGTAAAAAATAATTCATTGCGGTTAAAAATCTGGAACCTGAGCTGTAATAACTACTTAATTATGTAAGATCAAAACACAATAAAAGTGTAGGTCAAACTCATTTAGTTTTATTAAATATCACGTGGTAACACCATCGGGGGACATTTCGTGAGATTCACCCTTATAGCACTAAAGGTTTTGGTGAAAACTCAAAAAAAAAATTGCATTTCATTTTTATCAAAAACGGTTTTTTTTTCAAAAAGTAGGTGGCGCTAAAGTACCCAGCGATTTTTGCCCCGATTTATTTTTAACGCAGTACTGTAACTAAGAAAGTTGTTGATCTCAAGAAAAATAACATAAAAAAAGGTTTTAACCTTAATTTGCTTTTCTTATGACCCAAAAAGATATTTTTTTAAAGTTATCCACCTAGATTTTTTAATGTAGAAGTTCAGCTGTAATTTAATTAAATTGCAAAATTAAATTCAAATTTTATTGTGCAAATGCATAAAATAACAACAAAACAAAACAACTTCCGTAAACATTTCGAGAGTGTTATGAGGATTTTATTAATAATAGATTATTGTTTTTTATTTATGTCAGCGGATACCACAAATTGCTTTTGAATTTGGGACACAGTCGCCAATCCAGAGCCTACAAAAATTCGTAAAAAAAAATTTATATATTTTTTTTTACATAGACGTTTGACCATAAAAGTTTTTGTCCTATTGGATTATAAACGTCTTGAAAGTTTTATAAAAAATACATTTTTTTATTGGTAATTACCAACCTTTGACGTTTTCTCTGATTGGAATTTCCAATTAGGGAAATATAACCATGATAAAGTTATGAATTTTTAATAATATTTATCTCAAAGCAAGCATATCTACGTTTATTTATTTCTCAAACCACAAAATCAGAACCGACTTTCCACCACCCCAGAAACTCAAACTGCCATTTCCATTTTCCCAACATCAATCTCATCCAAAAATCCCAAATTAACATCGACAACCAAAACGAAAAAAACCCGTTTTAAAGGAACCGAAGTCGCGATCCATACCGACGCAAAAATCGCAGAGTGCCGCGATCGACGATAAAAGGCGACGTTGCCGAGTCGCGGGAGCAAAGACGTCGCGTCGCGCGTAATTTTTATATTAAAGTGAATTAAAAGGATATTTTATTCGGGATTATTTCCGATAGGACATCTTAAAATAATGGTAAGCACTTGGTCTTGATTACAAAAATTAAAAATTAGATACCTATTTATTAAAACTACAAACAAATATATCTAGGTACAATATGTTGTCTCAAACTGTCAATATTAATTAGTTATTATTATTTAATAAACTAAAAATAAAATAAAAAATATTATTTTTATAAAAATGTTTTCCAATTAAAAAATCTTATAACTCGTAACTTAAAATCGCATCATTTGATCCTAGAACGCTTTGCTTCGGGACGACAACGGCAACATTGCGGTGAACCGCCATCCTACTCGCGTAACATTAAATTACTACGCTGCGGCAAATATCCATCTTATTCTTTGGTTATTTTCGATGAAAGTACTGAAAGTCACCATGAAAAAAGTACAAAAATAGGGTAAATCGATTGTGAGGATTCGATTGCGATAGGTGTCAAAAGCGGAAAACGCTTATTATCAGAGAAAATTGCGAAATATCGTGCGGGAGTAGTGGGGGCAGCGACAGCACCTGGCTGCAAGGTTGCCAGTCATACGGAAGTTTCCATGAATGTAGGGTTTTAATGCTTCATTACAGGCTTTTACGTGAAGATTTCAGTCGTAGTTTGGGTAGTTTTTAATTATATTAGTATAACTAACAATAACTGTTTGTTTTTTTCACGCAACTGTGCTGAAAACAATATGTTACGGATAATGCTGGTGCGATTTTTGAAAGTTTGGGTGGGATCTGACGTCGTAGGATGTGGCAACAGCGCTTGGCGGCCGGCGTAAGGCTCGTTTCAGTAGACTTCGTTCTTCAGTAGTCGTCGTTGGGCTGTCAGAGTTCTAAGAGTCTAATACTAGACATTGCTATCTTTTCTTGAGTACTTTCTAAGCATGTATACAAAGTTGATCGTAAAATTTAAGGAGAGTGGTTTTGTAAACAACGTGTTTCTTATATCTACAAATATTTCTTTTGTGTTACATACTCCGTGCGTAAGAAAAAAACCCACGAACTAGATTGAATTTAGTGCTTTATTATTAAAATACCTCATATTTTCTTAAGGTAAGTGCCAATGACAGTGCAGTGCGAGTGAATTGTGTTAAGTTAAGGGACTCATTTACGGTACATATGCCGGTCAAACGCCCATTGCCGGCTACGTGGCTTCTGCAATTATTATTTACCGCATAATGCCGCTGCCACTATTTCATTTACCAACAAGAGTCATGGCTTATTTGCAGCCAATCGGCAATCAGAAAAGATTTGCAAATAATTTGTTGAGGATGTTATTGGTTCTTAATTCTTGTTAGATCAAAGTTATCATTGCCAATCAGTAAATTTACAAATTGTTTTAAGCATGTTATTGGCGCACTAATTTCTGATTCTTGTTGAAACATTGCGTTGCATTGCATTCCTTGCATTTTTCTCCTCATATACGAGAAAGTCCGATAAATATCAGCCAACTACCTTGCAAACGCGATTTTTTACGCTTGGCGCAACTATTTCATTTTATTCAATGACAGTCGCTTTACTATTAAATACTACAATCGTTGTTATAACCGAGCTCCTAATTGCTTTATCGTTTATATTGTTTTGTTAAATAACTGCACTCAACTTTAATATTATTATCATTATAATTCAACAACAAACATGCATTTATTTATTAATTAAAATAAGGAAACGAAACATTGTGCAACCAATTTTTTCCCGTATTAAATAATTTTTTGTCGGACATTTTTATGTAATTTTTTAAATGATTCAAATGAAACTCGTGTGTTTGCTTACTTAGTTCCACAAATATTTACCTTTTAATGTGGCGCCTACAAGTATTACTCCATTACAACCTGCTTCCTCTAAAACAAAATTTTAGGTGTATGTTTATTTTTCTTGAAACCGATTCGGGAGTCTATAATTAATGAATCATTTTACTATTGACTCCATTGACGTTTGTATGCAAAGGAGCAACAAGTATTATAATGCATTGCGGTATTTGCAGGAATTTCTCAACGGCGCCGGATTTTTTTCAATTCTGTATCACGGCCATTATTAGTTGTTTTCTTTGGTGATTCTTGTTAAACGTAAAGTTGTAAATTATTGAGTTAATATTTTTCACAAACGCTACTTTTTGATTCAATATGTTTAGATAAATTACTAGGTACTACCTACCTATAAAAGTAATTATATTTTGTAAAATAGTCGATTTTTACAATAAAATTGTGATTAAAGAAGTGATGGTAAAATATTTATATAAAATACCTGCTTACGTATTATATTATTATATAATAAATTTATACTTGTAGGTAGGTACTTATTTTATATCAATTTTTAACATGCGTTCTAAAATTAATATTTTTCTCAAAAACGACTTTTTACGACATTTGAATGGTGTTATGCAAAAAAAGCGGGATAAATGTATGGGGCCATGTAGGGCCACCTTTTAAAAATATTTTAAAGAAATATACTAAATACTGAATTAAAATAGATATTCAAAATAATATAGAACTTTCCCTTAAATATTGAAATTGTGAAAGGTTATACAGCGCCAAGCGGCTTGGTTAACGCTACTTTTGACTAAACGGAATATATTTATAGTACAACAAGGATCCATGCTACGTGGATCTGGTTTAAGTTAAAAAAATAATGTTGGAAAAAAATGAAGCAATGGTTTTATATGACAAAATCAATATTTCCAAAAAAAATAAGAGAAGATCAGGAGGATCTCAGAGCTAAAATTAAAAGGTTTTAAATCTATTTATCAACAAATTCCAAATTATGGTTTCCATGTTATAATAAAAAAATAGGCAATAACAGTTTTATTTATTCTACAAGGGACCAACCAACAAATTTACTGATTTTATTGAAAATAATGAAAAAAATATTATAAGAAATAAAAATTTAGTGCTAAATTAGCGATTTGGAAATAAAATTAAAGCGTTGAATCTAAAATTAAGATCACAGTAATGAAGGAACCACGGACGCTATTATCTTGGTTTTGCAACAGTGAGTTGGTTCCCCGTTGCATAACACCATTCAATTTTATTTTTGATTAAGTAGGCTACACGTTTAAATAAAAATGTGGACCAAAACTGATTTTGTGTAGGGGGTGTAACCTGTGACCTTCGAGTGACGCCCAAAAATTGTCCAGGCGTTTAGTTTAAACGCTTTTGACGTTTGACCTATAAAATAGCATGTCGTACATCTATCTAATTAATTAATCATACGAAAGGTACCTGTTAATTTTTGTAGGTGATAAAATCGCTTGGGTTTTAACAGGGGGGAAATTTACGGTCGTTAGTTCGACAATGAAATGGCCGTAAAAGTGTCAAATTTTGCGGGGGAATGCGTTTTCAATTAGGTTCAGTTGTGATGCAAAATTTATGGGTCAGATTTTTGTTAGTTTTCGGTGTAATCTGCGTGTTAGAGAAGGAGAGATAGAGAGAGTGAGATTGAATGATAGCAGCAGCTGCAAGCCATCAGAGTTCTTAATAATTGTTGTTTCTTTTGCAGCAGCTGTCGCCTTGGCGGGAGTCTTAAGCCAGGTCAATTTGTGATATTAGTGATAGTGACTTTAGCGTTTAAGAAGTAATTTTAGATAGATATACATAGATTTATAAATATGATTGAAATAAAAACTGAGATAAAAGCGGAAGAGATCGATATAAACGATATAAAATCGGAGTACATGTTGGAGACGCCGCGCGACATGTTTGCCCCGCAGAACACGGAGCCGCCCCTGCTTTCCGACGACATCTGGAACAAGTTCGAGCTGGACTTCCCCGAACTGACCGACATGGACGACATCTTCAAGGAACTGGATACCGGCATCAGCGAGAACTCGCTCTTCAATTTGCTCAACGACTGCGAGATCCGCAACCACGATTGCATGTGGGCGGGCCACTGCGGCAGCAAGGAGCACCCAGCCGATGAGCCTAGGCTCCTCCAAACGATCGTGCCCATAGTGCCCCCGGTGGTGCACAAAAACCTCGTCAAACCTCCAAACCCACAGAGTCTGCTGAAGCCGCGAGTTAACCTCCAAAACACGGCCGCGGTGTTGCCGCAGCAGCAGGTCAGCCTGATGCACACCCCTCAAACCCCCCCCATGAGCGACGACGAGGAGGGTAAGAGCAAGAAAAACGACCTGGTGAAGATATTGCAGGACACCATCTCCGAGATCGATTTACCCGACGTCGACGATGAAGACATCGAAGAGCTCCTCGATCTCGACGATGAAGAAGACGAAGAAGAAGAAGAAGAACAGCAGAAAGTCGCCAAGGAGCAGAAATACGCCGCCTCCTATGCCGCCAACGACCACAGTTATCACAAGGAGAAGAACAGTTACGTCCTAGACACACCCTCAGATTCAGGTATGTTTTTTTTTTTTTTTTTGCAAAATCTGCAACGATCTTTATTCACAAATTACTTACAACTCCTAGAACAGCAATTTGAATTTCTACACATATTTTTATATATTATTATATTACGGTACAAGATGACAACACTTTGTAGAGTTTTTTACAACAATTACTAAAAAAGTAAATAATAAAAATACAAAGAAATAATAAAAATTTAAAATGATATAAAATCTGTATGATAATTTTATGTTTATTTTATTTTTATTTGCAAAATCTGCAACGATCTTTACTCACAAATTACTTACAACTCCTAGAACAGCAATTTGAACACATATTTTTATATATTATTATATTACGGTACAAGATGACAATACCAGGGCTCCCACACCTCCTAAAACTCATAAAATTCCTAAAATTTGGCTTAAATCTTGAAAACTCCTAAAATTCTCCTAAAATTGCATTCCATCTCCTAAAACTCCTAAAATCCTAAAAATTAAATTTAAATAGGCCAACCTGACTGCGTTTAATTAAGGTAGTGCTAAAAAAATTCTTTTTTAAAAAGTTTAAAAATATATATTTTTAGGTTATATTTTATTACATTCTTTTTAAAATGATATAATATCACAACCAAAATTTTTCATAAAAAAACAAAAAAAACTCATTTTTAGCGATATTTCTTTTTTTTAGTCAAAAATATACCGTGTATATAGGATCAAACAAAAGGATTTTTAATTTTCTTTTAAATGACAGCTAAAATAGTAAACAACCTAAAGAATGTTTTGCTGTATTTTGCAAACTTTATATATAGTTATGAGATTTTAAAGTTTAAAATTATTTTACAGAATATGAATATTATATTTCATAAAATAGTTAAAATATTCTAACAAAAATGCATTTAGAACTATAAAACTGATTTTTTGAAATATTTTATCAAAAATTTTACTGTTGGACTCGTACTATTCTTAATCTTATCGATTCAATTACTGTTAGCTATTAACTAAACGGTTAACATATTTGTTCTTAAAATATAAATATAACATCATTTGATTTTGGTTTAGTTTTTTAGCCAAATCTATCGACGCATTTTTTTAAATAAAATTAAAAGTGTGGTAAAATTTACACTTGTAGTAAAGAGTTGTTTTTATTTAATTAAAGAAATTCATTTCCATACTTTATTAATCCTAAAATTTTACAAAAAACCTAAATTCCTAAATAAAATTTGTAATTTAGCCGTGGGAGCCCTGCAATACGTTGTAGAGTTTTTTTACATCAATTACTAAAAAAGTAAATCGAGTGAATAATAAAAATACAAAGAAATAATAAAAATTTAAAATGATATAAAATCTGTATGATTTGGATTTTTTAAATAAAATTTTAAATTTGTCGATAAACTATGCTAAATAATAAATTGCACCATTTTTTTCGCAAACTTCAATTTAAATTCTGCTTTCGCAGAACTTGTTTATTTAATGTCATTATAAACCCATATAAATTTGGTGTGGGTCCCATATCTAATAATTGAGATATCGGTATACCCAAAATCCACCAGCCGCCACCACAATAGGACTTAATTTAAAACTATTACTTCGCATATGATACCAAATATTTTTATGTCCATTGTCTTTTTCTTGGCATGACATTTATAATTAATAATGGCCTACTTTTACACAAACTGTTGCTGCCGGATACAATGTATTACGTTTGTATTTGCTCGTAATTGCTTCGAGAACGAACCATTACCGTTTCGTAGTCGTATTAGAGCAGTGCCGGCTCTAGGGGTAGGTTGGAATGCTACTTTTCTGGCAAAAACTAATTTGTGACTTAAAGCCTTGTTTTTTTCATTTCATTCAAAATTAAATAGGCTTTATTTTGGTATCGAGAAATATAATTTATTTCATAATAAGATACTTTATCCCACCCAAAATTTTGATTTTATAGGTTGGCTATACTTTAAACCTATTACTTCGCATATGATACCAAATATTTTTATGTCCATTGTCTTTTTCTTGGCATGACATTTATAATTAATAATGGCCTACTTTTACACAAACTGTTGCTGCCGGATACAATGTATTACGTTTGTATTTGCTCGTAATTGCTTCGAGAACGAACCATTACCGTTTCGTAGTCGTATTAGAGCAGTGCCGGCTCTAGGGGTAGGTTGGAATGCTACTTTTCTGGCAAAAACTAATTTGTGACTTAAAGCCTTGTTTTTTTCATTTCATTCAAAATTAAATAGGCTTTATTTTGGTATCGAGAAATATAATTTATTTCATAATAAGATACTTTATCCCACCCAAAATTTTGATTTTATAGGTTGGCTATACTTTAAACAGCACAATATTTTGCATATTGGTTATAATATTTTTATGATTTTTCTAGTACTTACGAGACTTCTGGCAATAAATTTTGTTTAGCACCAAAGAAAATCCTTTTTTTCTTCTTTAACATTAACAGCCGCTTATTGTAAATAAGTAAATTAAGGACGGCATGGCGAATCGATTTTGACATTAACTGTCAAACCAATGACTGTGATACCAACTCTCTAAGTAAAATTCGACCAAATTAAATTTAAGGTACAAAATTAATTTTTGCAAAATAGATAAAATAGCATAAAGAACTCATGTTGAGTGTAAAATTTTATGATTTTACGAGGTATTATATTATTTAAAATAACTTTATAAGTACAATTGAGGAGCATCCGTGCAAAATGCAAAATGTTGGGAAAATGGCTTTGTGGTACTTGATTTATAAGACATACTTTCGTTTTCAAAAACTTTATATTAAGGCCAAAATTTCAAAAAATGTTTTGTATATAGCCGGTTTTGCTCGAAAACCGAATAAAAAACGAATAAAATGTGAAAAAAACCTTTATTATTCAAAAATATTAACAAAATAAATTTATTGCAAACATGAAAAACAGAACAAATTTTAGTAGTAGTATGGACATATCCAAGCCACATATTATTATTTATTGGGTTTGCTATAAAAATGTGGATTTGGCCGGTTTTGCTCCTAAAGCTAACTTGTTGATTTTAACATGAATATAGTCGGATTTAAACAGAATTATCTTGGTTGTCGATAGAAATAAACCCAAAGATGCGAAATCAAAAAAAAACAAAAACTGAATAAAATGGATTTAGCCGGTTTTGCACGGATGCTCCTCAATTACAATACATACAATATCGTATTACATAGGTACTTCTTTAATTTAAACAATATTTTTTTTTATATTTATATAATAATAGAATAATTAATGACAGAAAATTCGTTTAAATCTAAAATCTGATTTTTTTCTGTATTGCTTTACTTTAGACGGCTGTATCTTTTTGAAATAAAATCTTTTTCTTTTGGAATCTTACAAAGTAAGGTTTTTTCTTTACATTTTTTTGATCAGATTAAGTTTGATTGTTTTACTTTTGGCCCACGGTGCGTTTTTAAGGTGCGCCTGCTCGGGCGCCAAATTTTGAATAGTTTTTATCTTGGAAAGTAAGAACGCCGGCACTGTATTATTTAAACAAAATATTTTTTCACCGTTTACGCGGTGTTAAGGTCGACAATCGGCGAATAATTGTGACAAGCAGAGACTCGTAAACACTTCTCATTCTTTCTCCCGACTTTCTCGCAACAATGAAGCCGGCAGAAGGAGGAATAGAATGCCCGAAGAGATGCCGCACGTGTGACATTTATCACGCGCTCTATAAATACGTTCCCCGTTTAAAATTAGAATCCCGATTACGTAACGTAACGTTTGGGCGTCTGTAATAATGCAGGAAAATCGGCGCCTAACTGAACGGAATTGCCGGCTTTCCCGAGAAGCGGCAGGAAAAACAACAACGCATCATCGGCTATCCGCGGAATGCAGTGCTCCGATGGAATCCGGTCTTCAAATATTAGTCAGATACCCGTCTGTTCTCCGAACGCTGCGTTGCCAGCTATACTCTCTTATTTATTTTATTCCAATTTTGCATATTTATTTGACGTTTAAATTTGTCTAGTTGGCTTTGAAATGTCAAAAATATGATTTAATTTTATGATTTGACGTTTAAATTTGTCTTGTTAGCTTTAAAATGTCAAATATATGATTTTTAAAACTTGAATATTTCCGTTTTTATTATTTGACGTTTAAATTTGTCTAGTTGGCTTTATAATCTCACAAATATGGTTTTTAAACACTTGAATATTTCAGTTTTTGTTATTTGACCGTCAAATTTAGACTTTTAAATATGTTTAGTTGGCTTTGAAATATCAAAAATATGATTTAATTTTAATTATTTGTCCAGTACTACGTTTTGAAATGTCAAATTTATGATTTTTAAACCTAAATAATTCAATTTTTATTATTTGACGTTTAAAATTGTCCACTAGTAAATAGTAAAATAATTTTTAAACTTAAATAATTCAATTTTTATTATTTGACGTTTAAATTTACCTAGCTGGCTTTGAAATGTCAAAAATATGATTTAATAATTTAATTTTAATTATTTGAAGTTTAAATTTGGCTAGTACTACCTTTTGAAATGTCAAATATATGATTTATAAACCTAAATAATTCAATTTTTATTATTTGACGTTTAAATTTGTCTAATAGGCTTTAAAAACTTGAATATTTCCGTTTTTATTATTTGACGTTTAAATTTGTCCAGTTGGATTTAAAATGTCAAAAATATGATATTTTTACTTAAATAATATAAATTTTGTTATTTGACGTTTAAATGTTATCTAGTTGACTGTCAAAGGATGTCAAAAACATGATTTAATAATTAAATTTTTATTATTTGACATTTAAATTTGTCTAGTTGACTATGAAATGGCAAAAATATAATTTTTTAACCTGTATAATTCAATTTTTATTATTTGACGTTTAAATTTGTTTACTTGGCATTGAAATGTCAAAAACTTAAATAAGTCAATTTTTATTATTTGTCTAGTTGGCTTTAAAATGTCAAAAATATGATTTTTAAAAACTCATATTTCAGTTTTTTAATTGACCGTCAAATTTAGACGTTTGA